TTTTCAATGGTCGGTTTAAGATTTATTGTAGTACATCATTGCTTTTCGCAACGGACTAATTTTACAGATTTTGTCTCCATACTTTTTAAATGCAAACAGTTCTTACATACGGCTGTCCATTGTGCCGTGTTTTGTGTTTTCTATAAATCTGTAACGGTCAGCGACCAAAGAGCTCAACCTCACATGTCAAGCTTATATACGTTGAAGAGGAGAGTCCGATGTTAGTAGGAAGTGTCGGGCGTAGTGTCGATGTTGTGTTTGTGTATGTGTCGCTGCTGTGTCCTGCGTGGTGCTCGTGTCGTCTGTGATGTATGTAGAGTTGCAGTTTACTCGTGATAGTTCCCAGCGAATTAATAGACTCCTTTTTTTTTATTGGCTGCTAGAAATCTCACAAGGTGGCGCAAGTTACCGCGCGATTCCAAGTAGTTTGCGTGAGTTATTTATCCACGTCAGTTCGATATTCGTTTTTTTTTTGTTTTTGTCTAGCGGTTTTGTCGTAGCTGCCGACGCCACCGACCGCCGGCGACGCACGTACGTACCTTTGCACGTAGCTACGTCCGCCTCTTGGAGACTGTTTACTGTATATAAAAGATATCGAACGAGAACGAACGCGTCCTGTGTGCTTTCAGTTCGGCTGAAAGGCGGGGCTCGCTGGGCTCGTCCCTTGCCTGTTCTCGGCTGCTGGCCGCCATTTTTCATAAGGAACACGTTGAACCGTGCTTCTCGGAAGGCAAACAAGGTGTAGCGTGTTAAGTTTACACAGCAGCTCATGTGTAGACGAAAAACACAGATGGCTCCGTATAAAACAAACACGTTTCGCCGTGTCCGCTATGGGACAACGGTTTACATGTCTGGGCGTGTTATCTTTGCTAACAGTGTACTTTTCCGAAACATTCCCGCCCACAGCGTTTGCAGGCTTTTGTATTTCTGATGCTGGCTTCTCGTACCCGCTGATAATCGGAGATTTACGGGGCATGTAACATTCGATCTTACTAATCAGGCTCACTGGGCAATTGAATGAATCAGAAAAATGGAAAGCCCACGTGCTACAAGCAGGACTTTATTAAGAGATGTGTTGGGGACGCGAGGGAGAGGGGGACCCGAGGGGTCGGGATGTTTATGACTTCAGGTCCGGAGGGGAAGAGGAGGGGGGGTTCAAAATGCATGTACGCTACGCCCCTGGCCGCCACCAACTTGCTCGTTATTCGTCGTAGCGGGAGTGTACTCGCGGTGGAATAGGAGCAACTCTCTCCTACGTAGCTTTCGGAACTTCAGTTCTTGAAAGAATAAAATATTTCTGTTTCTAGATGAATTCGAGAAGTAAGAGAGTACATTGGGGGGAGTTGCCAAAGAGTGAACATCAACTCCTCAAGTTTCTTTCTTCAGCAATAAGATTAATCGTTTGACTATTTTGTTGAGCAGCTGCTAGGCCCTGGGGAGAACATTTCACACCTCGGTATCTTTCTTTTGTTTTGCAGAAAAAATCTTAACTTGGCACGACGTTCTTACGAAAAAGAGTTTCATACGAAAGAGGAAACAAAAATACACCAAGGGGGCCCACAAAAGTCGCGTATGAAAGGGTTTAAGGAATAAATAACGACGAAAATGTGCTCCCTACTAATTTTTTTAAAATAAATAGTTATAGCCCGACACGCGGTGCGGTTCTGTTTACCAGCACGGCCGCAAGGCCGCGCACGCGCGGAAGCTATATGGTCAAATGCGGCCAGGCTCTCCATGTTTTCGCCATTGCATTCTACGTCGTGCGCTCGTTGTTGACGTTGTAGAGACACTTCTAGCATTGTTTGTGCGTCGTATTTTTTGCCAACATATGCCGTACGTTCTGCCCCACTATTTGAGCTCGCTACCCCAGCCTGAACGGCAGCGGTATCGAAACAAACCGTGCGTAGACAGCGTTACCATCGACAATCCGTACGCCGTAAACAAGACCTGGTGCAGTTCCGACGCGAAGTTGTTGCCACCGACGTCGACGGCTCACGTCGTCGTTTATTTAGTTGTTTAGCCAAGCCAGTTGACGGCTGACACTGTACAGGCGTACAAGTCTCTCGAGGCCAACGATTACTTCGAGCCGGTTTCCCCACTGCCGTCGGGATCAGCAGATATTGGGTCTGCGGAAGTGTATTTATTAATTGATTAAGTACAGACAGCGTCTTCGAGTCATGGTATGATATTTTTACTACCCTAGTGACCTGAAGATATAACTAGCGGTAAGGCTTTGTCCGTTCTGCAGTGTTGGCGATAACATGCTGCAAGTAACGGCGTTACCGGTAACGTGTTACTCTTTTCAGTGGCGTAGTAATGTAGTAGTTACTTTTTGAAAACAGTAAAGATTAACGTACTTACGTTACTACTCCAAGTAAGGTGTCACGCAGTTACGTTACTCTTGCTTCTTCTTCCCAAGTCTTAAAGGAATTACACTTCAATTTTTCCGTATTGCTATGTGTCAAGCCACGTGCATTTATGAGTTTTCTGTTTTTTTCTTAGCATTTTTTCTCGTGAGTATTTAGGAAAAACCATAAGAAAAGATAAAGTAATTATGTTCAACTTCTTCGTGAACATAATGTTTCTTGAAATATGATTTTATGCATACCTGTACCGTCCAAACAGTAAAACGAGTTAAATCATAATTTAAAAAAGTAACGCAAAAATAACGTGCATTACTTCTTTCTTGTGGGGAACGGTAACGCATTAAATTTATTCTTAGGTAAAGTAGGTCGGTGACGCGCTCCTTTTATTTTCAAGTAACGAGTAACGTATCTCGTTTCTTCTTTTTTTCGTAATGCCGACAACACTGATGTCCTGCTGCCGTTCTTCTTCCACCTGATAGTGCGAGCGTAGCGAGCCACCGACGAGCGCTTGCCCGGCGTTTTGCACTCGAACACCGTGGGAAGGAAATCCCGGTGGTCTCGATCAGACGACGGTTTCCCTGCACATAGGCATGCCTCAGGACGAAGATTGAAATGGAAGCCACACTTGCCTTAAAGAAAGTGCTTGCCAAACGAGCGGTCGTCCACGCGAGGCGACCAGTATTTTCGATCAACGAATATTATCCACCTTGTGCGCCTTTCAGAGTCAGCCGGGAACCCTTGGAAATTCGCCCCGCTACCTTTGCTGCACCTTTCGGTGCAATTAACGGCAACACAGCTTTGCGGCATAGTGAAATGCTATGACGTCCATGAAAACTTGCGCTCTTTTGCCCATACCACCCGGCTCCGGCGCGATCGCACCGCCGCCGCAGCTCCGCGACGTCAAGACCGCGTCTCGGTCTATACACTTTCTATACACTTCGATTAGTTCAATTTATATGACGTTATTGGAATATAGAGCTTGTATTCGCACGAGTCTCCCCGTGCTGATACAGAGCCTGCGTACATACCGCTTTTCCTCTATGCACACTAAAGCCTGAACACAAATAAGTTCGCCTGGTCGGACGATGGGATACATGAATGCCCGATCAAACAGGTAATTTAGATTCATCGAAAGAAAATAAAAGAAGTCGCGAAATATCAAATAAAGAACGAGTGAAAACAGTGTTTTAGTATTTTTAAATGAATGTGCGAGACATGTACGCTACATAAGCTTAAAAAAATATCTTAGTGTTATTCCCTGGGCGTTTTTGTACCGTAATAGGAGAGGCACTCTTCCATCTATCATCACGCCCGTTTTCGCCGCGTCAGCTTTGCGCCCTTTGCACGAGTGGTAGCTTCAGGGCACCGCTGCGCTCCCCACTTTCCCCGAATTTTCCGAAGCTTACTTATTTAGTGATTTTTAATGACGCTCAGCATTTCTCTTTTATTTCGAAGCATACCTTTTTTTAGTAATTAAAAGCGAATGCAACAGTTTTAGCTAATTATCTGACTTATCGTGACAATTAGTCCTCGACAAAATGTCCCCCTGCCCGTAATACCCAACTGCAAGACAACATTTATGCAAATTTTACTGCTTAAAAAACTCAACTCCTCACAAAACAACTGCATATGGGGATGGTCCGTAATTAGCGGTGGCCAGTGTGAATCGGTATAGACCGAAATAAAATACTGCACGTTTTTTTCTGTATTGATATCCCACTTGAGCAGGAGATGTGACTTAGCCTAAATTTTTCTAGGGGTAAATTTACTAGTTTATAGCAGAAGCCTTTAGTTCTTCATATGCAACCTTAGCTACCTCGTAAATCTTGGTAATCGCCAATTGAAACACAACCTATGTTTTTTTCGCAATTTTCATATTAGCATATGACCGCGATTTGACATCTTAAAACGTTCATCCCAAGTAGCTTTCGCTTTGGTATTTAGCAGTAGCGTTGATTTCAATCTCCCATTGTTATTTAAGTGTTCTTCATCTGTATTGATCCCCGAGTAAGCGAAATGCCTCTTGTTATTGACAGGCTTGTGGCGAATAATATACAAAGTGAGGTGTGTTTTACAAATAATTTAAGGATGTCCATTCCGTGCTACAATCGTGCTAACTTAAACGAGAATAAAGTAAATTTTTATATCTTCTTTCGATACTGGAAACTCAACCTACGTAGCATAAGTATCCTAGAATACAAAACATTACAATCATGCCTGGCGGTTTCCAATCATTCAAAGGCGACCAGAATTCATGACATGACATTTTTGTACTGAAATTTAAAAAAAAACAAAAAAAACGGGGCGTATAGAATGTAGATGTCTGTTTGCGTACCCAATTAAAGATCACGCATGAAATTTTCTGTTGTCTCAATCACTTAAAAAAGGGCGCGTTGCAGTATTTGATCAAGTTTTTATGTAAGAGGCCACTTATGATTCTTATGAATGGCTTTCTAGGATGCTCACGGCACTTTGGTTAAATTTCAGCTATGAATCGACAATATCAACAACCGTTTTAAGAACCCCATTTCTCTCCTATAAAGTGCAAATGTGGTATTGTTAATATCTGAAGGTAAATTCACGCAATATTGGCACTTTTCAGAAATACATTTGTCGGTGGGCCGTGACTCCGGAATGAAAGTCCGAACAAAGCTAATAATTGTTGGCACGGTAATGATTCTGCACGCAATTCAAGAAGGTAAGACACATAAAAAATTCAGGAATAAAAAAATGCGGTATTTTTATTCATACATTAAAACTTAAACCTCTACTTTTAGCGAAATATTTGAGATTCTTGCGGCGTATGAAGTGCGGCTTTGGTCATCGTGAATAAGGTTACGTACCTCTTTAAATCCCCATGCCTCTTACTGAGGTTATAAAAATGTATGTGTTCTTGCGGAGTGCTTCTCGAAAATCACTTTTAAATATATAATATTGCGTCAGTCGGTGAACTGCTGAATTGCTGGCATTTCTTATGTTAGTATCTCTACAAAAGCTAAGGTCAGGCGGCGGTGTTAGAAACAACAATCAAAATGCCTGGGAGTGTCGTTATGGAAACGTAACATCGAGTCCTATTTAAAAGTTTTTTTTCTATCAGGATACATAAAATACACTGAAACAATACACTCTATCTGAAGAATGCAAAGTACGAAAGGGCAATGAGCATGATGTTCCACGTCCTCGTTGTCCCTGCGCACGTTTAGTTTTGAAAATCTAATCGGGCATTCTGCTTCGTCGTCCGCGGGCACATTTTTATTTTTCATCCTGATTTGCTCGCTGCGCTTTCTGTCAAAAAATGAACTCACCAATTTTAAAACTTAGTTAATAAAACATAGCATACCTACTGAAGTTTCAAATAATTAAATAAGAGATTTGCCGAAGTCAGTTACTCGGAAGTAAGTTTGCACTATAAAGAAATGTATCTAAGTTCAAATGATGCCTTGTATTTTCGTCGAGAGCTTGAGAGGTGCTAGTTGACGAATACAGTGCTATTGTTAAAATGGGGTATTTAAAGAAATCTGAAAAGTATTTTTTAAGCTTCCGCTAAATACTTTCGTTTCACAGTCCCTTGTGATGATAATTTAGGCGGGTTATATTTATTTTTAACTCCATATATTGAGAGTTGTTTAGGATAGCGACTTGCGGTCTTCCGCCTCCCTGTGTCGTCAATGTTCAGGGTGGCGTGCCTCGACAGTTTTCGCTCTCGAACTGTATGTTCACAACTGGGAACGAGACTGCTCGCTGAAGTAATTATTACTTCTACGCGTATGTTGAATGTTGATGTGGTGCTAGAGTTGAATATGTGACGCGCATAGGACCGATATATCGAAAAGAGCTCAATCGGAATCTTCGCGCCTAGTCTGTCACGCAAGATCTACGTACAATCAAAAGTAGCTTTGATTTCTATCCTTTTAAAATGAAAGTTTTGCGGAAGTGTAGTACTTAGAGCAAGAATATCCTACGAAGTGTTCAGCCGCTTCATCTCACTGATTTGTTTATATATTTTCCAAATAGCGCAAAGTGAGCTCTGAAAGGGTCCCGACGTGGGTCCCACCTGGGCAGCCACACATTGGATTCCATCGCGGGACCAACAATTGGTCAACTTGCACAGCCCACAAGGGCCCTTCTTGTGGAACTCACAAAGGGTCTTGTTGGGCAACCCACATGGGCAGCCCACATGGGATTTCCTCGCGGGACCCACAATTGGTCTACTTGAGGAGCCCACAAGGGCCCTTCTCGTGAAACCCACAGAAGGCCTATTCATGCAGCCCAGAGCGGCTGCCGAAGTGTGACTCACAGTCGGTCTACTTGCGCAGCCCACAAGGGCCCTTCTTGTGGGGCCCACAGGGGCCTAGGCATGCAGCCCACATGGGCCGCCAAAGTGTGAACGACAGTGGGTCTACTTGCGCAGCCCACAAGACCATTCTTGCGGGGCTCACCGAGGGACTAGGTGGGCAGCCCACATGGGATTCCCTCGCGGGACCCACAATTGGTCTACTTGCGCAGGCCACAAGGGCCCTTCTTTTGGGGCCCACAGGGGGTCTAGGTGGGCAGCTCACATGGGATTCCCTCGCGGGACCCACAATTGTTCTACTTGCGCAGCCCACAAGGACCCTTTTTGTGGGGCCTACGGGGATCTAGCTGGGCAGCCCACATGGGATTCCCTCGCGGGACCGACAATTGATCTACTTGCACAGCCCACAAAGGCCCTTTTTGTGGGGCTTATAGGGGATCTAGGTGGGCAGCCCACATGGGATTCCCTCGCGGGGCCCACAATTGGTCTACTTGCGCAGCGCACAAGGGCCCTTCTTGTGGGGCCCACAGAAGTGCCCGACAAGCCTAGATAGGCTGTCGAAGTGTGACCAGCAGTGGGTCTTCTTGCGCAGCACACAAAAGCCCTTCTCGTGGTGCCCTCAGAGGGCCGAGGTGGACATTCCACATGGGCACCACTGGTGTGACCCGCAGTGAGTCTAAGAGGGTTGGCCACATGATGCGCTCTTGTAACCTAATTTCGCATGGGGTCATTTTATAATTTTCCTATGGAATGGGGTAATACAGTGCATAATAAATTATGCATACCTAACTTTTCCTGTGTGCCTACTGGAAATAGTAACACTGATAGATCAATAAAACCTTTCGGGTAATCCCCCAAAAAATTTGCATTCAAAGTGTACGAAATGTAAAAAAAATATAAACAGCAAATTACCTAAAATATATTGTTGGACAGATAATTAGGGTACGTAACCAGCTTGAGCCGTCTACATACACCGAAGTTTAGAAATTGCACGACATTCTGATGAGCGTGTTTCGAATTTAACATCAAATTCAACACTTTGCATGCAAAATTCCACCCGCGTAAAATTGCCCTCTCTGCATAAGCGTTGAGTAGTAAGTTTGGCAATGAAGTTTAGCAAGCCCTATAGTTTTCACTCCCGATTAAATTTATAACAGTCGGTGATTTGGTATCAAATTAAACCGAGCTTTTACATTGAGCTTCAGAGCGTGCAGTAAATATTTTCAATATTAACGGAAAGTGGTGTTTTGGGAGTTGCAAAGGTAGTCCAAGTTCGGCATGCCCACGCTTTGCTCCCTTGAAGCCCACACCTAGGCTAATCTCGCCCCCGGATAACCGACGTGGGACTCAAGGTCAGTGCATGGGCAGCCCAAGTTTGGCATGCCCAAGGGTAGTTCTCCATTGAGCACGTTTTTGTGCTAAATCAGCCTCTTTATTGCCCAAGTGAGTCCCACATAACATATTTTGCATGGGCTGCCCAGGTTGGATATGCCTACGCTGTACTCTCGTGGAGCCCACGTCTTATCTAACTTTGCCCCTACATGAACTGGGTGGGACACACGGGGGTATTGCACGAGCGGCCGAAGTTGTGCATGCCCACGCTTTGCCAACGTGGAGCCCACACGGTTGCTAACTTGGTCCCCGGCAGGCCTAAGATTCACCCATGGGAGTTTTACATGGGTTACCAAAAACGGTCACGCCTACGCTTCGCCTCCGTGCAGCCCACATCATCTCAACTTCGCCCCGCACAACCGAGTTGGGACCCACGGGGCGTTTTCTATAGACAGCTCAACTCGAGAACGCCCACGCTTTGCACCGTGGAGACTACATCGTCGCAACTTCGCCCCCGCATAGCCGAGGTGGGACCAATGGGGGTTTTACATTGGCAGTCCAAGTTGGGCATTTGCATGCTTAGCTGCCGTGAAGCCCTTATTTTAGTGAACTTGGACACTCTCTTTTGAAAATAACACTTCAGCTTGATGTGTTATAGCACCCTTACAGCGCTACAAACCCCTTCAGTCCATCAGACCCCTCAGACCTTCAAACCCCTTCAGGCCTTCAGCCCTTCGAACCATTTAGCCCTTCAGACCCTTCACCCTTCTAAACCTCATCAGCCCCTTGTTCCTGTATCTATGTGAACCATAGATAAAATCTGCAGTTTAATATGTGATTAAAATTTATTTAAGACATTAATCTTGATATGCATATCATAATTCAAATAGACGATAATGACCAATGTTCACGCAAACTCAGTCACAAGAAGCTGTAGACAAAAGCGATCAGACCAAATAGGGACAACTGAGTTCTTTGTTTCAAAAAATATATTTAACATACTTACAATGCCGCTGGGTAAATTCCTGAGGTGTATGGACTTCAGCCAATAAAACCAAGCCGGAGCATCACAGGCACAAATACACACTGTCAGTCGCACGTTTAGAAAAAAAACACAATCGCGCAAGGAACATCTGCCTCCGTTGTGAAATCCTGAACAATGTCACGGAGTCGCCGCGAAAGACGTCGGGGCGTTGTCTCCGGCGACCTTTTCGCTCGCTGGAACCTCTGAAGCCGGACGGATGAACAGGTGGAAGAAACAACGCATTGAAAAACCTCTTTCTTGATCTGCACACCCAGCTGTTTTACAAAATAAATCCCACACATGACACGAGAGGCCGACACTGAGTGTCCGCTCGTTGCTCATTAATTTTGTGCTCGTTGACGGAGAAAGGTCACCAGGTCCTGACTATGGCAGTATATCGACGGCCTAAAATAGTTTTTCTTCAAACAAACAGCAAACAAACAAACATGGCCGTTCATTGTCATGCCCGAGAAACACAGAGCACACAGACATAGCAATGGTGCCGCGAAGGCCTCGACAGGGTAGAGACGGGGAAACCGCTCCTCGATTTCCAGAACACGTTGCGGCTTTCCGATATAAAATGGCCAAGCGGCTTCCAAGACGCACATATCCTGAAGGGTCACGTGATCTCTCCCGCAGACCCATTTAACAAATTTCATGAGGGTGTTTATCAGAAAACACTGGGACAGACCCCCCCCCCCCACAGTCCTCTAAAGAAAACTAACTAAAAAAATCTTTGAAGAACATCTCGAACCCCTCAAACATTTTTGAAGTGAACGTTTAAACATTTCAGAAATTTTAGTGGGCCCCATGGACGGAGTTTCAATAGGGCTGCGCCTCCCTAGATCCCACATCATTGCAACTTGGCCCATGCACGTCCGAGGTGGGACCCAGGGGTGTCTCACATGGACCACCTGAGTTGTGCATTCCCGTGCTTTTCCGCCATAGAGCTCCTTTCTTCGCAAACTTGCACCCCCCCCCCCCCCCCCCACCTTGAACAGAGGTGGGACCCACTTGCGTCTTTCATGGGCAGCCCAACTCAGACACG